TTCAAAACTTATTAAGCATGACAAAATGTTGAGAAACAGCAATTAGGAAGAGGCACAGAATTATAGTTGAATATCACAAATGAATAGAAAAGAGAACTATAGTCAAAGAATCATTGAAAATACTTATTAGATTTAGTTTTGTTTGGGTAAATTTAAATATACTTGCACTGTTCAGATATGATTTCCATATAGTACTTACCAAATTAGACCATTAAATGCTTTGGACTACACATAAGCTACAGCATTTGAATCTGTTGAACTATTCCAGCTGAAGTAAGTTATCTCAAATATCGAAAATTGTCATTATCACATAAATGGTGAAGTGCAGAATTAAGAACCAGATTGAAATCTAAAGTTGTTGTTGTAGTTGTTATAGTTATTATTGTAGTTTTTTTTTGGTGGGGGAGAGATGGAAACATTTCAGAAATAATTTGTGAAGTTGAAGCATAAGGTTCATTAAATAAGATATCATGCCACCTGCTCAGGATATGAGATGTTTTCTCACATATTAGATTATTAGGTTTCATATCTTCTCCAGCTTGATCTTTTTAAAGACTTGCCTGTTCACTGGTAGATAATGTTTAAGATTTTTCACTAATGCTGCCAAAATATTATTATTTTTCAAATTTGTTTGAAGTAGGTATTCTAGTCTTCATATATGTCAAGAGAAGGTTAGGAAATTGTAAAAAAAATGTGTTGTCATAGAGTGATATACATACCTTGTAGACATAAGGTGACTTTAATATCCTACATTCTTTTCAGCCGCCACTCTTGAATTGGGGGCATGGAGGGGCTGACTTCTTTTTAATGAAAAGTTTTGTACAAGCTGTTGCAGGAGGAGACAAAGATTACATTTTATCTGGTGAGTCCAAGGATATGACACTGATGTGAATGTAGGGGTAATTATAGCTTAAGTTATGATGTTAGTTGATGTATTTCCAGAGTTAACAATTACATTGAAAATAATAACTAGTTTACCATGCAAAGATGTTTTTACTATAAACACAACTGAAAATGCCATGTGTAGAAATGTATATGGAAAATTAATTGATAAAACTAAAATCAAGATAAGCAAACCAAAGCACCATAGTATGTTATAAAGAAGGCTAAGAGTTTTGCTGAGAAACATTTATTACTCAGTCTTGTAATTCTGGCATATTTTTCAGGTCCAAAAGTGTCCCTCGAGACCCACCTTCTAACTTTTGCTGCTGAAGAATCTAGGCTTTCAGGTACTATTGTGAAGCCTAGTGAAGATCCAAGATGGGTGGTGAGGTAATTGTCAGATGAAGAACCACTCATATGATGGAGAGATATTCCCATATTTGTGTTGTACATTATAGTGAGGGCAAAGGACAGTATTTTGTAATGATATATTCAATTTTCTATGTATATGAAGATTTGATAAATGCAGTTCCTATCTGATTATATAGATTGTGAGTCATGTTTTCTATGTAAGCACTATCACCCAGAATCAATTTCTAAACAGACACTTAGGCATTATTTAAGGGACTTTGACAAACTGAGAGAAATCCTTGATAATATAGACTGGAATGATGAATTACAAGACAAGATCAGACAGAACTACATTAGATAAAAAAGAGTTTCTGTTATTCAGTACTCAAGGATAGATGATGAATTAGACAACCAGGAACTTCAAAATTGCCTGTGAATGACCATAGACACAGACATGGCAATTACATATCAGTTCATCAAATGCAAGGTCATCCATCTCAAAGTGAATGTAGGAGCATCTTATTGATAGTTCAGGGGGTGTGATACTAGCATTTATGATAAGAACTGTAGGGCACATATAAACAGAACATTCCTTTTATGAAGAGGGACGTGATGACATTGCTTATCAAAGACCTGATCAGACCCCATCTAGAATATAGCTCAGTCTGGTGACCAATTATTAAAATATTGTTAAATTGTACATGTTGATTCACCTGTTTAAGAATCATATATTGGTTAACTCATTTAAAAAAGATACTTGGTATTGAATCAAGAGAGCATAATATTCTGGTTGAAAAGTCTGTATATGATGTGAAATTACAGATCAGGACTAAAACTGTAATTTCTCGTAATAGCAAGAGAATAGCATTTATTTTATGTACATATTATATTTTTGGTAATGAACTGCAGTTATTTATTGGTGATCAGTTAATAAAATATTGTTAATATTTACTTGGCTGTTTTTCTCATGTTTTATTATGTAAGATGTAACTATCATTTCACTTATGTAGTCTGCATGAACACATTTGTAACCCCCACCCTCTCCCCCACACACAGACACAAACACCATGAGCATCTTTAATATACTGTTCATAAAAAGTTCATATTTTAATGTTTTGTAAGTATATTTGTCCAATAATGATATTTGGTTTACTCGGCAGTTCAGTCAACTATGATGAGTGATCCATTTAATATTATCCAGAATGGAATCATCCGTAGCCTATATATAACAGCAAGGGTCTTTGGATAAATGGTCTATGCTTATGGA